AAACATTGTTTCTTTTAGCTGGGGGGAAAGTGGCAGCTAATTATATGAACTATAGGGAAGAAAAAAAACAAAAGCCGGTAATTACAATTAAAAACCAGCACTGACATATAGTGACAGCCAGTCACTGTATACACTGCTCCTTCCCTGCCCCCCACATCTGCAGCACACACAGTCCCCTGTATTGGCTAAATTTTTCCTAATCGTCATTGCTATTTTTGGCTGATGTTTCAGTAGCCAAAATTTCGGTGCATCCCTACCCTCCAGTGGTTACAGCAGAAAAAGGTGAAGGTTCTGGAGTGGCCATCACAGTCTCCTAACCTTAATATCATCGAGCCACTCAGGGGATCTCACACATGCGTTTCCTGCAAGACGACTAAAGACGTTGCATGACCTGGAGGCATATTGCCAAGATGAATGGGTAACTCTACCACCTGCAAGAGTTTTGGACCTCATAGAGAACTATTACAAAAGACTGCATGCTGTCATTGATGCCAAAGGGGGTAATACACAGTATTAAAAAACAAGGGGATGCAGACTTTTGAACAGGGGGCATTTCATTGGTTTACTTGTTACCATGTTTTGCTTTATGATTGTGTCATTCTCTTATGGCCTACAGGCGAATATGAATCCCATAGGAAATAAAAAGTGTTTTGCGTGCTCACTCATGTTTTCTTCAAAAATGGTACATACTGTACATTACCAATTTTTCAAGGGTATGTAAACTTGTGAGCACAACTGTATGTAGTAGGAAAGCCATTGTTTGCTTAGTGAGTAATTAGCTGGTCACTTGCTGGTCTTGGACCTCATTCACAGGGAATATTTAAAGTGGTTATAAAGGCAAACAGTTTTTTTACCTTAATGCATTCTCTACATGAAGATAAAAAAAAACATTCATTCAATGTATTCCTTCTTAAAATGCATATCTGAGCCCTGTCTCGATCCATCGCTGAGCCCATCTACAGCAGTGCTGCTCTATTCACCCTCTCTTCTCACAGTAGGCTCGAAAGCAGCAATAGCCATTGGCTCCCACTTCGGTCAATCTAATCCTATGAGCACAGAGGGTGGCGGGACTGAGCCGTGCTGAGTGTGTCAACAGATGTACACAGCCCAGATTGGGACTGAGCCCCATAGCAAGCAGTGCACACTCAGAAGAGGAGGAGAATGAGCGCCGGCAGGGGAGGTTTGGGGCAACACAGCACAGGTAGGTATACCATGCACAGACGCATCTGTTGCTGCCAATTTGACATCTGTGTGGGTGCAAGCACATGCCCCTGAATGTAGAAAGTGTGGGTTCAGGGACACTCACCCACGAGGATGTCTGTGCAGCCGCTGCGTCCCAATTGACATGAATGGGACTGCATGCACGCAGATGCACAAAACACTTGTGCATCCCCGTGCGGGAAAACATTGCCCTCACACGGTGTACGCCTAAGTACGTCTGTGTGAACAAGGCATTGCACTCCTATTTTTACACTTTTTGACTGGAAGATACTGTGGGGGGGACATTTCTCAATTATGGCAATGCTCAACAGGCGCAGCAAGATAGATTGTGTGACAGATTTATTACAAGGCTACAACTGGAGTCATAAATTCCTTCCTCAGCTGCTCTAAACTAGCACTGCAACATAGTGAGACCTGACCCCAGACCCTGACCACATCTTAATTGTGTGTGTTTAGCATGAAAATCTGTATCATCCCCAGATAACCAGTCGTAGATCTTTGCAAACTGAAGCTGGGGTCACAACCTGTCCCAGAAACTTTGCTGAAGGAAAGGTAGACTGATTTGTGACCAATTGTGTTGCTAATTTGCTTGACCAATGTCCCACTGTAAGTTCAAATAACATCTCCATGTACAAAATTAAAAACTACTCCACAATCCAGTGGGGACTATATGAAAAATACTGTAAGATTACCCACTGCAGGGATAAGAAAAAATCATATAGCCCGATGATCGGGACATGCAGTTCCAGGCACCTGGCATTTTCTGCTGTGGACAATTGATTTCCATGCAAAATCGCCTCCCACAGACTTCCATGCAAAAACTCCTGTCGATAGCAATCCTATGTGAACACTTATCTCCGCATGCCACTCTACTTTATCACTTGCGAGTCTGGAATGCACCGCTACAAACTCACACATTTTTTGTATTGGCACTCAAAACCGCAATACATGTGGATTGCATTTGTGTGAATTACCTCAATAGAACATATAATATCTAGCCTGTCATACGAATCTGGGTATTTGAAAATGCATTAAGAATTGCATGTGTGTGAACCAGGGCAGCTCCATTCACACCTGGGCGTTTTGGGATCGCGGCAGAACCACAGCAATTCGCCACTCTGATCAATCCCCAATGGGTGGGGTGAATGCGTCAAAGGATGTGGCTAGAGTGGTGGCTGAGGTCAAACCAAGCCATCCATTCACCTGACTACAGGGTCGGTTGAGCGGCGTCCACCTTCTTCTATCAGCACCTAAAATGTAAGCGATTGTATGAGATTGTCTTGTGGCGCCACTCTGATCCATCCCCGTTGGACGGGGTGAAACGCATCAAAGTGTGTGGCTAGAGTGGTGGCTGAGGCCAAACCAAGCCATCCATGCACCTGATTCCGGGGTCGGTTGAGCGGCTTCCACCTTCTCTTATCAGCACCTAAAATGTAAGCGATTGTATGAGATTGTCTTGTGGCGCCACTCTGATCCATCCCCGTTGGACGGGGGTGAAACGCATCAAAGTGTGTGGCTAGAGTGGTGGCTGAGGAAGCCAAGCCAAGCCATCCATGCGTATGACTCCTGGGGTCGGTTGTGCGGCTTCCACCTTCTCTTATCAACGCACCTAAAATTGTGGTGCTGTTTAGCAATGGTGTCACACGGCAAATCACATCGCGTGAATCTCATCACGCAAAAAAAAGCTCCAGCTCTTTTTTTGGGCAACAAGCTTCACACGACTCAATTTGTTGCAAGTGCCGCACAACAATCGCGGCAAAGCCACACTGCATTTCAAATGCAATCGAAAATAATGACACCTGAATCTGCGTTTTGCAATTGTAGTGCATTTTGAGATTGCGGGCAGAATTACAGCGATTTTGCCACAATCCCAAAACGTGAACAGAGCCTGGCAAACCCAAATACTCCTGAGGTTAGGGATGGACTCCAAAAAGATGGGACCAACATCATGAATTTCTGGGAATATGCACGCCTTGCTGCCCTCAAATGACCGGGGAAGTCTAAACGTACTGAGTAGAGAAAAACAGAAAGAGGGCCTGGTGCATTACCTTAAAAATGTATTTATTGAATGATAAAATTAGGTATTGTACTCACAAAATGACAATACAGTCAAAAGGTACATCGTATAAGAACAGCTCGGTCCGATCCGCACTATGTGTGCGTCCGTAATGGGAAGAGTTCCCATTACGGACGCACACGTAGTGCGGATCGGACCGAGCTGCTCTGTTTTTCTCTACTCAGTGAACAAGGCCCAACTGAGCACACACGGAGCTCGATTTGGCTGTGAGGGTAACCTGAAGGAATGGAGTGTTTTTTTCCCTCATTGGGGCCGGCACCTAATTTACTTGCTCAGCACATGCGTTTCTGCTGACCATTAAAGGAGCCCGGCACTCCCTTTTCCTGACTAGCACCCAATCAGTGCTCATCACACTGCAAGGTCTCTCCCCTCTTCCCTGCTAGTCCATAGGTGTGGTGCTAGAAACAGGCAGGGAGATGAGGACATAAACAGCACAATGTTAAAAACATTAAAAGTTTAAGTTGCCAAAAAGCCTCTTTCATTTTTAAAAGTCCCATACATTCCTAAAAGCACCTCTACCTAATATAAAACAGACTGGGACCCAGATTTAGTTCCTTGGACAAGTAGTTTTTTTTTTTTTAAATTTCCACACCCCTGCCACTGCACATGAAAATTCTGACTGTACAATCCAACTGTCGCAAAACCGAATGCAGATTTAAAGGTCAAAACAGACATTTCAATCCGCCGTGATCTGACCCATTTTCTTGCGCCTGCCCTGCAAACAAAAATGTGTTAGATTTACATTAGTATGTACATTAAAGCTGAACTCCCCAGCTTTAGGTCACTCTACCCCCGCAGTGAACCTAAAGTTGACCATATGTGAGATTTCCAAATGAAAATTCGTACAAAAATTTGTATGAAGATTCATAAATAAATTCTCAGTACATTTGACAGCTTGAGGAATATAACCGGAAATTTCTATTGCTTTTAATACTCAATTTTTTAAATGAACAAAAACCACATACATGGTTAGAAAAATAATCATTTGAGAAAAAATTTCCATTCTACTCCTTCAAATTTTCTTGTTACTATGAAAATAAACGTTAATCCTAACCCACTGACGATTAGAAAAACAAACGAACGTTCGAAAATCTACTATTGTATACCCGGCTTACATTCACAGTTTGCTGGAGCAAAGCCTCGTCCCCAACAAATGACACAGATACCACAGCAAGCGTAAATGTCATGATGAATCAACAATACAGAATGTTGCAATGTAACAAACTACATGTTACATAACATTCCACAATCCTTATCTCCTTGTCATAAGTGCAAATATAAGCGGGATCTATAGAAAAAAGAAAAAAAAAAAAAAAAAAACGCACAGTAAAATTTCTTTAGTACTTACCAGGGTCTACTTTTTAGAAGCACTTTCAAGGCATACAGTACATAAAAATACTGTTCCCACATAAAATACATAAAAATGGATATTCCTCCTGTAGACCACCTAACTCCACCTGAGCATTCTGCTGGTAATTAACCCCTGATGCCTACCTTAAAGTGATACTAAACCCTGGACCCCGCATTCACTAAATCTGGCCCCCCTGGGCCCCGCATTCACTATATCTGGCCCCCCCGGGCCCCGCATTCACTATATCTGGCCCCCCCGGGCCCCGCATTCACTATATCTGGCCCCCCCGGGCCCCGCATTCACTATATCTGGCCCCCCCCGGGCCCCGCATTCACTATATCTGGTCTCTCCCCGGACCCTGCATTCACTATATCTGGCCCCCCGGGCCCTGCATTCACTATATCTGGTCTCCCCGGACCCTGCATTCACTATATCTGGTCTCCCCAGACCCTGCATTCACTATATCTGGCCCCCCCAGACCCTGCATTCACTATATCTGGTCTCCCCAGACCCTGCATTCACTATATCTGGTCTCCCCAGACCCTGCATTCACTATATCTGGTCTCCCCAGACCCTGCATTCACTATATCTGGTCTCCCCAGACCCTGCATTCACTATATCTGGTCTCCCCAGACCCTGCATTCACTATATATCTGGTCTCCCCAGACCCTGCATTCACTATATCTGGTCTCCCCGGACCCCGCATTCACTATATCTGGCCCCCCCGGGCCCTGCATTCACTATATCAGGTCTCCCCGGACCCTGCATTCACTATATCAGGTCTCCCCGGACCCTGCATTCACTATATCTGGTCCCCCCCAGACCCTGCATTCACTATATCAGGTCTCCCCGGACCCTGCATTCACTATATCTGGTCTCACACAGTACACAGAATAAGGAAATGCAATTATTTAAGTAAATATAAACTGCTAAATACCTTTTCTCATCAGCAGTTATAGCAGTCTTGTGACTTCAGCAGAGCACTGTTTAAAGCTTGTAGGAGGAGTTTTCTTCCTGCTCTAGGAGGATGTGTAAGTCCTGACCCTCTGTCTGGATAGTGCTGATTGGCTCTGTGCTGATCACATGCACTCTCCCATGAAAAAACCTCTCTAGCAATACACATACTGATATACAAACTGAACATGTGCATGAGACTACGAATTCACTCTGTATCAGGTGGTCATTTCAACAAGGAGGGGCAGAGAAGACAGGATCAAACAGCCTTTTTACACAATGCAGAGGATTAACCCCTTAGGTTCCACAGTGAGTATAACAAGCATACTTTACTGCATATACAGACTGATTTTACTGTTGTGGGTTTAGTAACACTTTAATTATACACCTCACCAAATATTTAATAGAACCTCAGCTTGGCTTCTTACTTACATAGAGCCCAGTTTTCTATCAACTAGGTCCCTATTGAACCAGGTTCAAGACTCACTGCATGACACTAACCTTTCTACTCACCCTCCTATCTTTTCTCGCCCCCCACATGGACCTTAGTGCGACGTAGGTGGTTATTGACTGGCACCTCGTCTAATCTACTTGGATTGTGTCACTTCTTACCTATGCTGCGTCTACTCCCGAGATGCTGTGCTGATCATTCCTTTTGGGAACACTTTTCTATTATTTCAGGTACTTATATATCGCCGTCAATTTACGTAGCGCATTACATATATATATATATATTGTACATTCACATCAGTCTCTAACCCTCAAGGGGCGTACAAACTAAGGTCCCTAACTTACATTCATACATACACATACTAGGGCCAATTTAGACAGGAGCCAATTAACCTACCAGCATGTCTTTGGAGTTTTTCTATGCAAATGTTTTATGCGTTTTCATGATTGTATTTGATGTTCAGGCCCCTTGGGCACCTATTATCTTTTTGTACTCATTGTATTTGTTGTTCTTCAGCCCCCCTTATACTTACCCGATCCAGCAAGGTGCACAAGAGCAGTGGCTCTTGCCGCTGTCTCCCTTCTCACTTAGCAGATTGATAGCAGCAGGAACCATTGGATCCTGCCGCTGTCAATTAAATCCTGTGCTGAGGGAGCAGAACAGGGCTGAGCTGCCTAGTCAGTTCAACAGACGCAGACAGGGCAGCTCAGGAGCGAACATGCACAAGTGCCCCCAATAGCAAACAGCTTGCTATGGGACATGCGCATAGGAGTGCATGTGATCAGCACAGAGCCAATCAGCACTATCCAGACAGAGGGTCAGGACTTACACATCCTCCTAGAGCAGGAAGAAAACTCCTCCTACAAGCTTTAAACAGTGCTCTGCTGAAGTCACAAGACTGCTATAACTGCTGACGAGAAAAGGTATTTAGCAGTTTATATTTACTTAAATAATTGCATTTCCTTATTCTGTGTACTGTGTGAGACCAGATATATATATGTAAAAACGCTGCGTAAAATTTACAGCGCTATATAAGTACCTGAAATAAATAAGGTAAAAAAAAAACCGTCTACATTTAGGACCACTTTAGATTACTAAATGCCAACATGATCAATGCAGTTATCTAGCAGTATTCGACATAATGTTTTATTTTTTACAAGCACCCTGGGGTCCCTAAAACTATTTCATACGCCTAACAACTCTAAAAGGCTTGCTCCATCGCTTCTATTGGGTGGACAGATCATCCATTGCAGTGACTGGCCAACAGGATGGTGTGGAATAGGGACCAACAAACTTTTAAAACAGCACGGATGTGTTTTAAGAGTGCTCCAAGGGCGCTCCACATGAAGTTTGAAGCAATGTGCATGAACTGGGAAAAATAGATACAACATTTAACATTTTTATTACTATAACACGTGATAAACCATTCTGAGATTTTGCCACTTAAAGAGGAACTTCACCCACAAGGGGAAGTTCCACCCCGTTTATATCCTCGCCCCCTCAACTGCCACATTTGGCACTTTTTTTGGGGGGGGTACCTGGTTTTGAAAGGTACCTGCTCCCACTCCGGTCAGATGCTGTGATCTGAGCTGGAAGTTCTACCTCCCCTCCTTCCCCTGCAGCCTTCTGGGACACTTCACAGGTCCCAGAAGACTGCAGGACCATTCAAAAAGCCCAGTGTGCTTCACGTATGTATAGCAGAAAACAGAAAATGTGAAGCTGCAAGGCTGCCGGTTTCCCTTACTCAAGATGCCAGGAAACCAAAGCCATCGGCTCGGGTGAGGACATCGCTGGATCCCTGGACAGATAAGTGTCCTTATATTAAAAGTCAGCAGCTACAGTATTTGTAGCTGCCGACATATTCATTTTGTAGGGAGCCTGGAACTCAGCTTTAACTACAAAGAACACTTTCTATACTAAAAGACGGATTATCTTTCTATGTAAACTATTGGGATGACCAGAAAACACTTTACAGAACAGTCAGATTGTGCTTGTATTGCCTTATTATAATACAGGATTTATAAAGCGCCAACAGTTTGCGCAACGCTTTACAATATTAGGGAGACAGTACAATTACAATACATTTCAGTACGGAAGGAATAGGAGGGCCCGGCTCGTGGAGCTTACAATCTAAAGATTAAATTGTCTATGGCTAGCTTTAGACATCTTTAAAACACCCTAAACTACATTTATTGAAACAAGACCTCTTTTCGTTTATACCTTTATACAGTGCAAGCTGTAACCTGTATGGTAGATATGGACTTAAAGTAGAATTCCACCCTAAACCCAACTAGTCCCTCCCCCTCCTACCACCAATGCTGACTAACCTGTGTAAGAAAGATGTATATAAAATTTACCTATTTTCAGCCCAATCTGGTCCGGTCACAGTTCAACTATGTCAGCCAGCGGTGGCTGCAAGGAAAAGAAAGGGGGAAGTGCTGACAATGGCTGGGACATGGGAACTTATGGGTGACTTCACCGCTTCTGGAATTTGCAACCACTGTGAAGTGCCCTCCTCTCCCCTGCAGCCACCACTTGCTGGCACAGGAGGATCCTAGAACAGGGCTGGGCTGAAAACAGGTAAGTGTATACAACTTTTTCACACAGTTTAGTCACCATAGGTGTTAGGACGAGGGGGGGGGGGAACGACATTTTTAAGAGTAGTTCGGTTTAGGCTGAAGTTCTACTTTAAATGATCAGTTTCAAGAATAGGCAGATCTTATATTGGTCTGTGTACACCCTTACATAATATCTTTTTTAGATTTGCCACTTACCTCTTTTTTGCAGCCAGCCTTCCTTTACCACCATTACTTCATTCATGGTGATGGAAAGACCGAGGCCTAAGTGTATTCAATCAGCTCTCCAAAACAGTGGGTTCAGACAGTATAGCGGTTCTGGAACAAGAAAAAAAAATAAGAAAAATCAGGTTGTTAGTCCAACAAAGCCATGTACAAAATTCATTATCACTGCTTCAAGAAGCTATGTGATGACCATAACACGGCGCATAACTTACACACTATGTTAACAAATGGCGTACACCAAGAGCTTCACCAAATTATCTTCAAAAGAGAATTCAAGAAGCCAACTCAAGAATCACATCTATACAACACAAGACGGAGTGGTGTTTAACACATGCTTTCCATACACTTATATAAAGCGTCATATCAATTTCCTGTATAGATTTGTAACAATCAGAATGGAGTTCGCAATCTGTAATACCGCACAGTTTCCACAGGCTAGCTATTACAGACTGCATTAGTTACCGAAAGAAACATATAATTATATTTAATGCCATGTAAGTTTTGGACTGATTTACTTCCTGTCCTACTGCTCCTCTGTCCTACTGCTCCTCAACCAGACTTTACCAGACGTACCTCCAGGCAGGTACCTGAACCTTACTTCTTGTCCTACGGCTCCTCAACCAGACGTACCGGCAGGTACCTGAACCTTACTTCCTGTCCTACGGCTCCTCAACCAGACGTACCGGCAGGTACCTGAACCTTACTTCCTGTCCTACGGCTCCTCTACCAGACGTACCGGAAGGTACCTGAACCTTACTTCCTGTCCTACGGCTCCTCTACCAGGCGTACTGGCAGGTACCTGAACCTTACTTCCTGTCCTACGGCTCCTCTACCAGAAATACTGGCAGGTACCTGAACCTTACTTCCTGTCCTACGGCTCCTCTCTACCAGAAATACTGGCAGGTACCTGAACCTTACTTCCTGTCCTACGGCTCCTCTACCAGGCGTACTGGCAGGTACCTGAACCTTACTTCCTGTCCTACTGCTCCTCCACCAGAAATACTGGTAGGTACCTGAACCTTACTTCCTGTCCTACGGCTTCTCTACCAGACATACTGGCAGTTACCTGAACCTTACTTCCGGTCCTACGGCTCCTCTACCAGACATACTGGCAGTTACCTGAACCTTACCTCCTGTCCTACGGCTTCTCTACCAGACATACCGGCAGGTACCTGAACCTTACTTCCTGTGCTACGGCTCCTCTACCAGACATACTGATAGGTACCTGAACCTTACTTCCTGCCCTACATCTCCTCTACCAGACGTACTGGCAGTTACCTGAACCTTACTTCCTGTCCTACGACTCCTCTACCAGACGTACCGGCAGATACCTGAACCTTAGTTCCAGTCAACGACTCCTCTACCAGACGTACCGGCAGGTACCTGAACCTTACTTCCTTGTCCTACTGCTCCTCTACCAGATGTACAGCCAGGTACCTGCTCCTACAGCTCCTTTACGATCCTCTACTGCTCCACTGCCAGCTGTACATCCATACAACCAATGAGAGACAGTTTATGTTGAAGCCCCTTAATCACCACTTCTTTGCTTCCTCACTACTTCCTTCAGCCACCAGGATTAAGGAGAGGAAACCCCGTGTAAGCTCCTAACCAAGAAAAGGACTTTGTGCCTGCTCAGTAGAGCCACCAGTACTGTCATATTACAGGAAAGGGAAGTAGTAACAGGCTCCGCCATACCTGGAAGTACAGGGTATTTTCTTCACTGGAAAAACAATGAGGCTGGGGGAGAAAA